GATGGTGGACTGGTGTGACCTTACTGGGGGTTACCGGGAGGCTAACCTGAGGGATGGTGGACTGGTGTGGCCTTACTGGAGGTTACCAGGAGGGAGACCTGAGGGATGGTGGACTGGTGTGACCTTACTGGGGGTTACCAGGAGGCTAACCTGAGGGATGGTGGACTGGTGTGACCTTACTGGGGGTTACTAGGAGGCTAACCTGAGGGATGGTGGACTGGTGTGGCCTTACTGGAGGTTACCAGGAGGGAGACCTGAGGGATGGTGGACTGGTGTGACCTTGCTGGGGGTTACCAGGAGGGAGACCTGAGGGATGGTGGACTGGTGTGACCTTACTGGGGGTTACCAGGAGGAAGACCTGAGGGATGGTGGACTGGTGTGACCTTACTGGGGGTTACCAGGAGGCTAACCCGAGGGATGGTGGACTGGTGTGGGCTTATTGGAGGTACCAGGAGAGAGACCTGAGGGATGGTGGACTGGTGTGGCCTTATTGGAGGTTACCAGGAGGGAGACCTGAGGGATGGTGGACTGGTGTGGCCTTACTGGAGGTCACCAGGAGGGAGACCTGAGGGATGGTGGACTGGTGTGGCCTTACTGGAGGTTACCAGGAGGGAGACCTGAGGGATGGTGGACTGGTGTGGCCTTACTGGAGGTTACCAGGAGGGAGACCTGAGGGATGGTGGACTGGTGTGGCCTTACTGGGGGTTACCAGGAGGCTGACCTGAGAAATGGTGAAGGTGGTTGTCAGTACAACGTATTCTATAGCATCTGGCAAGCTGGTGAAGATTAGTGTTTGTGAATATTTCGCCTGTTCTGCGAATTCTAAACATTTTAAAAATCTCTCGTCGGTCGATGCATGCAGGGGATGAGATGAAATAGCTAATGCCACCTGCCTGAAGGCTGGCCGCCTTGGAGATTATATTATTATATATATAATATATATATATATATATTATATATATATATATATATATATATTATATATATATTATAAATATGCGTGTGTGTGTACTATAGGGGTAACAATAAGCAGTATTTATTATGATTCGTGGTATAGTTTGAGTATGTTAGGTTTAAAGTCTACTAGACGAGGGTCATGAAGGCTGTATGTCACTTGTTCAACAGTAGTCAAGAATACTCTTGTCTGGTCCTTAAGATAGTGAACAATGTTAATTCAGTATATATACACCGCGAAACACGTTTTATGTTGAATATACTCGGGTATTCACACTCCACGGAGTATATACACTTGGATACACGCCTCACACTGAATATATACTGAAATACACACTTCACGGTGTAAATACAGCAAGACACATATATTATGGTGAAAACATACGGAAATACACTCTCCACAGTGTATATACAGATACACATCTCTTAGCATATACAGTAAGGTCAAGGTACCAACCTTGAAGGACTGAAGTCTTCACTAATATCAAGGCACTAACCTTGAAGGACCGAAAGGTTATCTGGTACACTTGCTTAAAGTAGATGATACCAGTGTTGGGCTGGCTGTCAGCATCAGCTGGATGCAAGGTGAGGGGTTCTTTATGTATGTGTGTGTATATATATATATATATATATATTATATATATATATATATATATATATATATATATTGTTATTACTGTTCTTGCTGCTGAACAGCGGTTTAGTGCCGATGAAGGTAGCGTAGGTAGCAATGATACGGCCGTGGACTAGTTTGGCTTTAATTGGATAGGAGTGAGTACACAACGGGCAGTGTGAGGGAGTGACCGCAAGCCAGTCCGTGGAGGGGGAGCACTCGTGCCTCTCAGGTCGGTCGGCCTAGGAGTGAGACCGAATGGGCTCAGCCTCCCACTGACCTGGGTGAGCCTACAGAGGGCAGCACTTAAATGCCGCGAAATATGAATAAGAACAGACGGCTAGGCTGTGTGTTCTGACAGTACAGGCTGTCTACATTTGCTCGCCCACGCACCTCGCGTCGTCCCGACGTGACAATACTGGTGGGCCCGTAGGTATAAAGGAATTACTTACACTGGCTACCCCAGAGAGGGACTGGCTTTCACTCACTTGTAAATCAAAAATGGACATAAAGATGCAACAGGCAAAAAAAAAGCTCTCCCAACCAGGGGAAGAGAAAACTGGTTTGCCCGCGCTGTTTCATTGAGGAGCGAGTCCAGAAACGTCAGCACTGGAACTAAAATCTTCTATATACAGGTTGTCCGCAGGGCTGAATATCAGTTGATCACTCGTCTACGTACGTTGTTACACCCTCACATCTGCAAACAATGACTGACAGTAGCATTTCCTAAGGTGTGACATGTGACTCAGAGGGCAGCACTGCCCTGACCGTAATACAGGCTTTTTTTATAAAAACACTGGGTGCACATACAATAATACTATATCCATGGAGTTCATTACACTCTGGGTACCCTTCTAAAAGTATTTACATAATTATATGATGTTGACTGGCGTCGACCGATGGTGTTGACAGGCGTCGACCCCTCCACCCTGAGTAGGCTCACAATGCCGTTGACTCCACTGTTATTACTGTTCTTGCTGCTGAACGGCGGTTTAGTGCCGATGAAGGTAGCATAGGTAGCAATGATACGGCCGTGGACTAGTTTGGCTTTAATTGGATAGGAGTGAGTACACAACGGGCAGTGTGAGGGAGTGACCGCAAGCCAGTCCGTGGAGGGGGAGCACTTGTGCCTCTCAGGTCGGTCGGCCTAGGAGTGAGACCGAATGGGCTCAGCCTCCCACTGACCTGGGTGAGCCTACAGAGGGCAGCATTTAAATGCCGCGAAATATGAACTAGTCAGAACAGACGGCTAGGCTGTGTGTTCTGACAGTACAGGCTGTCTACAATATATATATATATATATATATATATATATATATATATATATATATATATATAATGTGTGTGCAAGACAAGCCACGGAGGGTGGAAATCTTTAGCTCAAGTACTTTCACACTTCTCAGTGCTTCATCAGGAGCTATGCAATGTTGCAAGTCAGAAACTGAAGGGGGGGCGAGCTTTCTCAGAATAGCGCAGTGCGGGTGTCATGCTATGCAATGTTGCCTTGCAACATCACATAGCTCCTAATGTCACACTGAGAAGTGTGAAAGTACTTGAACTAACAGGGGCCTGGAGGGGCCCCAGAAGCTACTGCAGTCCACAGTGCTTAATGTGGAAAATACTGTATATTTTCCGGAAATACGGCAATTTATGGGTAAATAGATGGCCTATATTGTATATAATAAAAATTATGTTATCGAAAATGGGAAGAAGCTGCGCCTGCGCAGAACACACTCGCCATTGTTTTTTGAATTTTGAACAAGAAACGTTAATGGAATGGGAAGAATTTTCGTGGTCTAGAGGGTAAAATTAGGCTGACACCTCAAATAGGAGCCGAAATTGTTGGATGTGCATTCCTGCATAACCTGAGATATCAGGCGACTGGACAAGACAACTCCAGGAACCTCAGATAAGTCTGTTATGTTGTAACTCTGGCCAGTGTTATTTTCATGTATAGACAGTGAGGTTTTCTGAGTATGATACACCTTGATCTCCAGTCAAATTGGTGAGTGATTTTAAGATATTCTCCTTCTGTTATGTGTATGTGTATCTTTAATCATTTTTTAATTTTAATATACAGTCCACAAATTTATATATTTACCAGCATTCTTGGTGATGCATATTTCATTTGTAATTAATAGGTCCAGAGCAACTTGTGGAGATGACAGTGGTAGGTATCGAAGGGGGACATTTTTTGCGACCTAGGTGTCCCAGATTCCTACTTGTCTAACTGATAAATAATAATTATCTTTATTCATTTACTGTTATGTACATAATGATGCATTCAGATAAATGTAATTTTCCACACTTAAAAATGTTAGGTCTACTGTATGAGAAGGGGTCGCGAAGGGGCTGCCATAACAGTTCAAGCTTTAGGGTCCTAGAAATGTAGGTCTGTCACAGATTAAGGTCACTTAGCCTTCATGATCAATAATGTCACTTAAGTAATACTGCCTCTGTCAGGAAGATGTGTTCATTTAATATCACATACCTGCAAGCCTCTCCGAAGAGGATAACCTAACATGCTGAGTTAGGCACAAGAATTAGCAACTGGGCGTCAACACTGCAAACTGAATTGTTTGCCATTTTAATGACGCTAAAGCTTACTTATGCACTGAGCTTGACTATCATCATTACTGATTCTGTCATCACTCTAGACTCTTGACTCGCATAATGACTTTAACATGCTCATTGGAGAAGTCAAATATAGATAGTCAAAATCTGGGAAAAGGGAAATAATGTATAATTGTTATGGATTCCATCACACATTGGATTACTCCATGATAAATTTAACTGGTATATGTGTCTAACATTAGAAATAATATTAGGAGAGAAGTAAATAGTGAAAATGAATGTTATAGGAATGCACTTAGAAACAGTAGATCTATAACTCAGTATGATAACATGAACGTAGATAAGTTTGTTTATGGAATGTGAACAGACTGATGTTGTAGTGGCCAGGCTTAGGTTTGGTTACAAGTACTGTACTTCTGGCAGTTTGGCAGACACACATGATTATCAAACCAAATGCAAAGTATGTGGCCAGCCCTATGGTCACTATCTTGAACACTATGTGCTTAATTGTCCACATACTGAGGAATATAGAGCTAGACAGTAAAGTAACCTATGTAACGTGTCAAGATATTAATGAAAATAAGATACCAGCTATATTAAGCAAATTTCTTAAATTTGCTTACAACAGATAAGTGAACTGTAGATGTAAATCTTGATGTACTCCTATTAACACTGGGGCCTAGTTCCTAAGTGTTTTGTGTATCCATATGTTCTTGTGCTACCCTTCACAGGATATGTGGTACACAATAAACTAACCAATTCAGCGGCAAATTGTAAAAATCTATCACCTATGTCAGGATCATTAAATGACTGAGTTGAGACATGTTTTATGGCTTCAAAATGGCATATTATGTTTCAGAGAGCGTGTGATGTGGGTACGAGGGGGCAGCCTTGTGGGCGGAGGAGGTGGGGCGGTGGTGGGTGCGGGCGTGGGCGGCGGAGGGCGGTCAATATGGATACCTTACTGCTCTAACAGTGACCAGCGTTCTAACCTTAATACACTAGAGTTTACTGGCAAGACTGAGTGTCTCAAGGTAAGTTACAGTAACCATGTACCAGTGTTATGGTAACCATGTGCCAGTGTTGTTACAGTAACCATGTACCAGTGTTGTTATAGTAACCATGTACCAGTGTTGTTATAGTAACCATGTACCAGTGTTGTTATAGTAACCATGTACCAGTGTTGTTATAGTAACCATGTACCAGTGTTACAGTAACCATGTACCAGTGTTGTTATAGTAACCATGTACCAGTGTTATAGTAACCATGTACCAGTGTTACAGTAACCATGCACCAGTGTTGTTATAGTAACCATGTACCAGTGTTGTTACAGTGACCATGTACCAGTGTTGTTACAGTAACCATGTACCAGTGTTACAGTAACCATGTACCAGTGTTACAGTAACCATGTACCAGTGTTGTTACAGTAACCATGTACCAGTGTTGTTATAGTAACCATGTACCAGTGTTGTTATAGTAACCATGTACCAGTGTTGTTATAGTAACCATGTACCAGTGTTGTTATAGTAACCATGTACCAATGTTGTTATAGTAACCATGTACCAGAGTTGTTATAGTAACCATGTACCAGTGTTGTTATAGTAACCATGTACCAGTGTTGTTATAGTAACCATGTACCAGTGTTGTTATAGTAACCATGTACCAGTGTTGTTATAGTAACCATGTACCAGTGTTGTTATAGTAACCATGTACCAGTGTTGTTATAGTAACCATGTACCAGTGTTGTTATAGTAACCATGTACCAGTGTTGTTATAGTAACCATGTACCAGTGTTACAGTAACCATGTACCAGTGTTGTTATAGTAACCATGTACCAGTGTTGTTATAGTAACCATGTACCAATGTTGTTATAGTAACCATGTACCAGTGTTGTTATAGTAACCATGTACCAGTGTTATAGTAACCATGTACCAGTGTTGTTATAGTAACCATGTACCAGTGTTACAGTAGCCATGTACCAGTGTTGTTATAGTAACCATGTACCAATGTTATAGTAACCATGTACCAGTGTTGTTATAGTAACCATGTACCAGTGTTATAGTAACCATGTACCAGTGTTACAGTAACCATGCACCAGTGTTGTTATAGTAACCATGTACCAGTGTTGTTACAGTGACCATGTACCAGTGTTGTTACAGTAACCATGTACCAGTGTTACAGTAACCATGTACCAGTGTTACAGTAACCATGTACCAGTGTTGTTACAGTAACCATGTACCCGTGTTGTTATAGTAAACCATGTTACAGTGTTTTTTTATAGTAACCATGTACCAGTGTTGTTATAGTAACCATGTACCAGTGTTGTTATAGTAACCATGTACCAATGTTGTTATAGTAACCATGTACCAGAGTTGTTATAGTAACCATGTACCAGTGTTGTTATAGTAACCATGTACCAGTGTTGTTATAGTAACCATGTACCAGTGTTGTTATAGTAACCATGTACCAGTGTTGTTATAGTAACCATGTACCAGTGTTGTTATAGTAACCATGTACCAGTGTTGTTATAGTAACCATGTACCAGTGTTACAGTAACCATGTACCAGTGTTGTTATAGTAACCATGTACCAGTGTTGTTATAGTAACCATTGTAACCAATGTTGTTATAGTAACCATTACCAGTGTTGTTATAGTAACCATGTACCAGTGTTATAGTAACCATGTACCAGTGTTACAGTAACCATGCACCAGTGTTGTTATAGTAACCATGTACCAGTGTTGTTACAGTGACCATGTACCAGTGTTACAGTAACCATGTACCAGTGTTGTTACAGTAACCATGTACCAGTGTTGTTATGGTAATCATGTACCAGTGTTGTTATAGTAACCATGTACCAGTGTTGTTATAGTAACCATGTACCAGTGTTACAGTAACCATGTACCAGTGTTATAGTAACCATTGTACCAATGTTGTTTATAGTAACCATGTACCAGTGTTGTTATAGTAACCATGTACCAGTGTTTGTTTATAGTAAACCATGTACCAATGTTGTTATAGTAACCATGTACCGGAGTTGTTATTAGTAACCATGTACCAGTGGTGTTATAGTAACCATGTACCAGTGTTGTATTAGTAAACCATGTACCAATGTTGTTATAGTAACCATGTACCAGTGTTGTTATAGTAACCATGTACAAGTGTTGTTATAATAACCATGTACCAGTGTTGTTATAGTAACCATGTACCAGTGTTGTTATAGTAACATGTACCAGTGTTGTTATAGTAACCATGTACCATGTGTTATAGTAACCATGTACCAATGTTGTTATAGTAACCATGTACCAGTGTTGTTATAGTAACCATGTACCGAAGTGTTGTATAGTAACCATGTACCAGTGTTATAGTAACCATGTACCAATGTTGTTATAGTAACCATGTACCAGTGTTGTTATAGTAACCATGTACCAGTGTTGTTATTGTAACCATGTACCAGTGTTGTTATAGTAACCATGTACCAGTGTTACAGTAACCATGTACCAGTGTTGTTATAGTAACCATGTACCAGTGTTGTTACAGTAACCATGTACCAGTGTTACAGTAACCATGTACCAGTGTTATAGTAACCATGTGCCAGTGTTACAGTAACCATGTACCAGTGTTGTTATAGTAGCCATGTACCAGTGTTACAGTAACCATGTACCAGTGTTGTTATAGTAACCATGTACCAGTGTTACAGTAACCATGTACCAGTGTTGTTACAGTAACCATGTACCAGTGTTGTTACAGTAACCATGTACCATGTGTTACAGTAACCATGTACCAGTGTTATAGTAACCATGTGCCAGTGTTGTTATAGTAACCATGTACCAGTGTTACAGTAACCATGTACCAGTGTTGTTACAGTAACCATTTACCCATGTTATAGTAACCATGTACCAGTGTTATAGTAACCATGTAGCAGTGTTGTTACAGTAACCATATAACTGTTGTCACAGTAACCATGTACCCATGTTATAGTAACCATGTACCAGTGTTATAGTAACCATGTACCAGTGTTACAGTAACTGTGTACCAGTGTTGTTACAGTAACTGTGTACCAGTGTTGTTACAGTAACTGTGTACCAGTGTTGTTATGGTAACCATGTCCCACTCTTGTTACAGTAGCCATATACCAGTGTTGTTATAGTAACCATGTCTCACTCTTGTTACAGTAACCATGTACCAGTGTTGTTACAGTATCTGTGTACCCCACTTGTTACAGTAACCATGTACCATTGTTACAGTAACCATGCAGTGGCATCATAAGGGGGGGGGACAGGACTCCCCAGGTGACAGCATCAAGTGGTGACACCATAGAGCCTCTAAAGAATGTGACACTAATTCCCAAAACAGTGTTGCAGCAACATAAAAGAAAAAAACCTTTGTCTCTATGTTGCCTATTACATGATTACAGAGTACAAATAGGCCTATACAGTGAACCCCCGCATAACGATCACTTCCGAATGCGACCAATTATGTAAGTGTATTTATGTAAGTGTGTTTGTACGTGTATGTTTTGGGGTCTGAAATGGACTAATCTACTTCACAATATTCCTTATGGGAACAAATTCGCTCAGTACTGGCACCTGAACATACTTCTGGAGTGAAAAAATATCGTTAACCGGGGGTCCACTCTATAGGGAAAATCAATGATGCTATACGAGAAACTAGGATAAATCTATAATTTTATTTATGATATTTTAGAAAAACCCTTAATCCACCTGGCATCACTATGATCAGTCATCACTGACATAACATCCTCTATCTGCTACACTGCCCGCAAGCGAGTTTGGTCCAGGTGGTCGTGTATATGTCGCTGGGTTAAACAGACAAAGGGTCAGGTAATTATCATATTTTGAGCTTTACTTTTGCTTATTGGTGATGAATCTAGATACGGTGGAACCTTGATTTTTGTTTGTCCCAGTTTTCGTTCATCACCTTGGTTTTTGTCAGTCCACTGTACCGAATGTGTCCGCCTTTGGGCACTGCAATGGATCAGAGAATACCTGACAGGGAGACAACAACAAGTCATGGTACGTAATGATGTATCACAGTGGGCACCTGTGACGAGCGGGGTCCCACAGGGGTCGGTCCTAGGACCAGTGCTATTTTTGGTATATGTGGACGACATGATGGAAGGGTTAGACTCAGAAGTGTCCCTGTTTGCAGATGATGTGAAGTTAATGAGGAGAATTAAATCTGATGAGGACCAGGCAGGACTTCAAAGAGACCTGGACAGACTGGACACCTGGTCCAGCAAATGGCTTCTCGAATTTAATCCTGCCAAATGCAAAGTCATGAAGATAGGGGAAGGGCACAGAAGACCACAGACAGAGTATAGGCTAGGTGGCCAAAGACTGCAAACCTCACTCAAGGAGAAAGATCTTGGGGTGAGTATAACACCGAGCATGTCTCCGGAAGCACACATCAATCAGATAACTGCTGCAGCATATGGGCGCCTGGCAAACCTGAGAACAGCATTCCGATACCTTAGTAAGGAATCGTTCAAGACACTGTACACTGTGTATGTCAGGCCCATACTGGAGTATGCAGCACCTGTTTGGAACCCGCACTTGATAAAGCACGTCAAGAAACTAGAGAAAGTACAAAGGTTTGCCACAAGGTTAGTTCCAGAGTTAAGGGGAATGTACTATGAAGAAAGATTAAGGGAAATCAGGGGAGACATGATAACGACATATAAAATACTGCGTGGAATAGACAAGGTGGACAAAGACAGGATGTTCCAGGGGGGGGACACAGAAACAAGAGACCACAATTGGAAGTTGAAGACACAAATGAGTCAGAGATATTAGGAAGTATTTCTTCAGTCATAGAGTTGTAAGGCAGTGGAATAGCCTAAAAAATGACGTAGTGGAGGCAGGAACCATACACAGTTTTAAGACGAGGTTTGATAAAGCTCATGGAGCGGGGAGAGAGAGGGCCCAGTAGCAACCGGTGAAGAGGCGGGGCCAGGAGCTAAGACTCGACCCCTGCAACCACAAATAGGTGAGTACAAAGCTTTCCATGCATTCTGAGTTAGTCTGGCTTTGTTTTTCGAATGAGCATTACCCTGTGCGTTCATCCGAAACATTTCATAATAATCCATTTTTTTGTGCTTGTTTATTTAGTGTGACTGCTAAATAAGCCACCATGGGGCCAAAGAAAGTTCCAAGTGCCAGCCCTTTGATAAAGAAGGCGAGAAACGTGATAGAATATTGTGTCTTTGGGGACGTCCAAGGGGTTGGATGTGAGTGGCCAGGATGTGGAAAAGTTGGTGGATGACCACAGGGAAGAGGTAACCACTGAAGAGATGCAACACCTTCAACTGGAACAGCAACAGATTGCAGATGAGGAAATTACTTCAGAGGAGGAGGAAGAGAAAAGGGAGAATATGCCTTCTTCAGTGATTAAGGACATGTGTGCAAAGTGGTGTGAGTTGCAAAGTTTTGTGAAGAATTCACCCCCTAACAAAGCTGTTGCAAGCCATGTCTGCAACATGTTCAATGACAGTGCCTCGTCCCATTTTAGGCAAATCGTAAAGAGACACCAGAAACAGACCTCTCTGGACAGATTTTTTGTGCGACAGGGGTCCAGTGCCAGTAAGAGACAAAAGGAAGTAACCTCTGATAGGGACTTAATACCTGAAGTCCTCATGGAGGGGGATATCCCTTCCAACCAATAACCTCTCCTCCCTCTCCCCTCCTCGCATCTTCCATATTGGTTACTTGACTTGGCTTTAGGTAAGAGTTCCACACAGTCAGTGATTAGGTCTGCAAATTGTTCTCCATCAGCAGGTATGAGACAAAGTAATGTGGGTTGTCCCACTTGCTGACACAGCAGGATCTTATGTAATTCCCAACTTCTCTTCTTAAACCTGGCCAATCAAAATACGTATTATATCCTACAAAGTGTCTTAGTGACACTCGAGTGTCCTAAAAATGAATCACAAGCAACCTTCAAAACCTGAGGTCTGAATTTCTTATGTGTTACAAGTCTACCAGATTTGGACATTCCCCCTACCTCCTTACCAGTATATTACCTGAATAATATATTTTCACGAATATATTTAGCTGAGCATACAGAGCTGACTTCAGCAGTAGCTAACTGGAAAGCTAACGTCAGAGAAAGGTCCCTCAGTTGCACTTCCAGGAAGGTCGGTCCATTAGGCATGGAGAAGGGAGTGTCTGGCAGTCCCGCTACCCAGGAATTGGAGGGCTTGATTAGAAGTGCTTCACTAGATTTACAAAGCCCTGGCTAGTTTTCTTCGCAAAACAATTTGTCTAATGCAAGATCCAAGTCCTCCAAGGTAAGGTCAACATTCTAGTCAGACTTTCCCTTGGACATTGCCCGAGTTATGGCCAGGACTGGAGAAAAGCCTTCTATGGTTACAATAGGATTGATACAGTCTAGAACAAAGGATATTATTTCCCAGCAGTAATAAAGTATCTTTTTGGGGAAACCCCTAGATACACCTACAGTTAAATAACCAGTGTAATTCTCTAATACATGTAAACTGCATTACTTGTACTACAAATAAATAAAACATTTGAATTTGAATTTGACGTTAAGAAATGTTGTATATCCACAGTTTATTCGTGAACTGAACCGCGAGACATCAAGCTATCGTCACCTTGCTGTTGGTCTGGGTGGTAGTGGAGACTGTGACCAACTGAGAGAAGAACTTAAGAGGTCTAGAAGAAGAGCCCAGGACCTGGCCAGAGAGGCCAAGAATAAACTAACTCCACATCTGCACCAGTTAGTTAAAACATTACTGTTACTCTCTAGCTGTTCTCTCTCTCAAATCTTGCATACATTTGTAACTTCTCCACATTAATCTTCGTTACAGATATTGATCGCGGGTACAGAGGTACACTGCTCATAATAATCATTAAGAGACGGGTGTAAAATGTGATTCATTATAGTTTTTTTTTTTTTTTTTTTTCAACAAGTCGGCCATCTCCCACCGAGGCAGGGTGCCCCAAAAAAGAAAGAAAATCCCCAAAAAGAAAATACTTTCATCATCATTCAACACTTTCACCACCTTTACCCCCTCTCTCCAACCCTTTCGAGGACGACCCTTACCCCACCATCCTTCCCCTATAGATTTATATGCTTTCCATGTCATTCTACTTTGATCCATTCTCTCTAAATGACCAAACCACCTCAACAACCCCTCTTCTGCCCTCTGACTAATACTTTTATTAACTCCACACCTTTTCCTAATTTCCACACTCCGAATTTTCTGCATAATATTTACACCACACATTGCCCTTAAACAGGATATCTCCACTGCCTCCAACCGTCTCCTCGCTGCTGCATTTACCACCCAAGCTTCACACCCATATAAGAGTGTTGGTACTACTATACTTTCATACATTCCCTTCTTTGCCTCCATAGATAACGTTTTTTTGACTCCACATATACCTCAACGCACCACTCACCTTTTTTCCCTCATCAATTCTATGATTAACCTCATCCTTCATAAATCCATCCGCCGACACGTCAACTCCCAAGTGTCTGAAAACATTCACTTCTTCCATACTCCTCCTCCCCAATTTGATATTCAGTTTTTCTTTATCTAAATCATTTGATACCCTCATCACCTTACTCTTTTCTATGTTCACTTTCAGCTTTCTACCTTTACACAATTCCCAAACTCATCCACTAACCTTTGCAATTTTTCTTTAGAATCTCCCATAAGCACAGTATCATCAGCAAAAAGTAACTGTGTCAATTCCCATTTTGAATTTGACTCCCCAAAATTTAATCGCACCCCTCTCCCGAACACCCTAGCATTTACTTCCTTTACAACCCCATCTATAAATATATTAAACAACCATGGTGACATTACACATCCCTGTCTAAGACCTACTTTTACCGGGAAGTAGTCTCCCTCCCTTCTTCACACCCTAACCTGAGCCTCACTATCCTCATAAAAACTCTTTACAGCATTTAATAACTTACCACCTATTCCATATACTTGCAACATCTGCCACATTGCTCCTCTATCCACTCTATCATATGCCTTTTCTAAATCCATAAATGCAATAAAAACTTCCCTACCTTTATCTAAATACTGTTCACATATATGCTTCAATGTAAACACTTGATCTACACATCCCTACCACTCTGAAACCTCCTTGCTCATCCGCAATCCCACATTCTGTCTTACCTCTAATTCTTTCAATTATAACCCTACCGTACACTTTTCCTGGTATACTCAGTAAACTTATTCCTCTATAATTTTTACAGTCTCTTTTGTCCCCTTTCCCTTTATATAAAGGGACTATACATGCTCTCCGCCAATCCCTAGGTACCTTCCCCTCTTTCATACATTTATTAAACAAAAGTATCAACCACTCCAACACTATATCTTCCCCTGCTTTTAACATTTCTGTCATGATCCCATCAGTTCCAGCTGCTTTACCCCCTTTCATTCTACATAATGCCTCACGTACCTCCCCCACACTTACATTCTGCTCTTCTTCACTCCTAAATGATGGTATACCTCTCTGACCAGTGCATGAAATTACTGCCTCTCTTTCTTCCTTAACATTTAAAAGTTCCTCAAAATATTCTCGCCATCTACCTAATACCTCCATCTCCCCATCTACTAACTCCCCTACTCTGTTTTTAACTGACAAATCCATACTTTCCCTAGGCTTTCTTAACTTGTTTAACTCACTCCAAATTTTTTTCTTATTTTCATTAAAATTTCTTGACAGTGCCTCTCCCACTCTATCATCTGCTCTCTCACCACTCTCTTCACCTTTCTTTTACTCTCCATATACTCTGCTCTTCTTATAACACTTCTGCTTTGTAAAAACCTCTCATAAGCTACCTTTTTCTCTTTTATCACACCCTTTACTTCATCATTCCACCAATCACTTCTCTTTCCTCCTGGCCCCACCCTCCTATAACCACAAACTTCTGCCCCACATTCTAATACTGTATTTTTAAAACTATTCCAACCCTCTTCACCCCCCCCACTACTCATCTTTACACTAGCCCACCTTTCTGCTAATAGTCGCTTATATCTCACCCGAACTTCCTCCTCCCTTAGTATAATCATAATAATAGTATAATCATAATAATAATAGTAGTTCTATAATGTACATAGTTTTTACCAAATTTGGAAGACAAAGTACTGAGAGGCTGGTAACTAAGACACACATGTGCCACTTAAGCAATTATACTGACACATGTTTCACCAACATAACACTTACTTTTTAAATTAGTCCCAGAGGCATGACCATAGCAACTAGTATACTTGAGGCAGAGAGGTGCAGCAGTTGGAGATGTGGTCACATGAAGGTGGGAGCCCTTTAGTGAAAAGTAGAACAATCTCTGGTATACTTAAAGTGCCTGAGCTATCTTCAGCAGTGGTCCCTGACCATGTCTTCAACTGCTGCATGTGCTCTACTCTGGCTTATATATTGATGGAGTGTTGTGCAGGTGACACATCTCTCAGTAAAGACTGTCATGTATTACACATCTCTCTCACTCATCAAGAACCTGAAATAATGGATTTAAATCAAACAAATTTAGATTTAGGAAGAACATAGGTAAGTATTGGTTTTCAAACAAAATTCTTGATGCGTGGAACAATCTGCCAAGTAGGATAATACAGGCTAAGACCTTGGGTAGCTTTAAAAAGAGAATAAGAGAAATATGAATGAGAAGGGCTGGGTTTAATTAGTACCTGAGGTACTAAAGCAAATCCTTTGGTTGCTTTTGGAAAAGGTTGGACAAATAGGTGGGTTGGAATGATTGGTTTTGAGAAGAACTAGCCTTGCATGGGTCAGTAGGCCTGCTGCAGTGCTCCTCCATAAGGATAAGAGGTGTTAAGGTGTACATGTGAGGTTGTACTAGTGTACTAAGGTTGTTTTAGAAAAACATGTAAACAGACACTAAGACATACTTTTTTTTTTTCCAACAAGTCGGCTGTCTCCCACTGAGGCAGGGTGACCCAAAAAGAAAGAATCCCCCAAAAGAAAATACTTTCATCATCATTCAACTCTTTCACCTCACTCACACATAATCACAGTTTTTGCAGAGGTGCTCAGAACACAACAGTTTAGAAGCATATACGTATAAAGATACACAACATATCCCTTCAAACTGCTAATATCCCAAACCCCTCCTTTAGAGTGCAGGCATTGTACTTCCCATTTCCAGGACTCAAGTCCGGCTATATAAAAATAACCGGTTTCCCTGAATCCCTTCACTAAATATTTCCCTGCTCACACTCCAACAGCTCGTCAGGTCCCAAATACCATTTGTCTTCATTCACTCCTATCAAACACGCTCATGCACACCTGCTGGAAATCCAAGCCCCTCGCCCACAAAACCTCCCTTACCCCATCCTTCCAACCTTTTCGAGGACGACCCCTACCCCGCCTTCCTTCTCCTACAGATTTAAATGCTCTCCATGTCATTCTACTTTGATCCATTCTCTCTAAATGACCAAACCACCTCAACAACCCCTCTTCAGCTCTCTGACTAATACTTTTATTAACTCCACACCTTCTCCTAATTTCCACACTCCGAATTTTCTGCATACATGTATTTATTAGAAAACTTTTCAGTCCTGAGACCTTGAGAAGTGATCAAGGTTCCAAGAGTGAAACGTTTTGTAATAAGTCCTAGTGTTTGCCTACATGTCTTTCTAAATCAACATGTCGGTATTTATTATCAAGTTTTATAGCACTAAGATTGTACATTGTACATATAAGTTTGTACTAGTGTACAGGAAGTCCTCACTTAACGTTGTTTCATTCAATGCCGTTTTGTTATAACGTTGGCGAGAAAAAAATCAGTTCCCGGCCAGGAATGGAAAATATGGAAAGACTTTCAAATATATGGACAGATGACTTCCATCATCTGGATAACTCTCCATGCTCACTTGTCAGTTTCCTCCCATATGGCTGTTTGTATTGAGTTTTTATGATAGGTAGCATGTTTCTTGTATAATTCTGAAAAACATGTGGTACCTAAAATAATAAAAATGTCAGTAATGGAGTAAATATACGACTTCATCGTGTCCCAATGGAAATAAGTCACTCTGACTTTTTTGGGTTATCCTAGGTTCTCTACACATATGCTGCTATGTATGATAATTCTATGTAACTGTATTTGTGTATACCTGAATAAACTTACTTACCAGAGTGACATAATCCATAGTCAAGGTGTCTGCAGCACTGTTGCCCTCCCTCTCAGCTCTACCTTGCCCTAGCAACTTAACTCTTGTTTATATCAATTAGTCTATGGTAAAATGGATTTTGTTATACATTGTTTTACTTAAAGTCACAGTTTCCAAGAACCTATCGACAATGTGCAGTGAGGACTTCCTGTGCTAAGGTTGTACATAAGTACATTGGACCCCAGCTTTACGATCAGCTCCCAATGCGACCAATTGATAAGTGTATTTATGTAAGTGCGTTTGTACGTGTATGTTTGGGGGTCTGAAGTGGACTAATCTAATTCACAATATTCCTTATGGGAACAAATTCGTTCAGTAATGGCACCTGAACATTCTTCTGGAATGAAATAATATCGTAAACCGGGGGTCCAGTGTATATGTAAGGTTGTACTAGTGTAATAAGGTTGTATATAAGTGCATGTAAGGTTGTACCAATGTACTAAGGTTGTACATAAGTACATGTAAGATTGTACTTGTGTAATAATGTTGTGCATTGTACATGTAAGGTTGTACTAGTGTACTAAAGTTGTACATTGTTTCAGAGGAGAGAGAGTGATGGGTGAGGTTGCTCGTTTGTGGCGCATACTCTTCTGCTGCATACGTGTCTTAGGTGAGTACTAACCATACAATACAATACGGCCTCTCCTCACTTAACGACGTACTTGTTTACTGACGACTTGGACTCGGGATGGGCTCTGACCAGTATGCATACCTAAATAATGTATATTAGAGCTGATTTCCTCTACTCTGTTTATTACAATATACAGTAAACTAGGAGGGGTGTTAATGTTGCAGTTTTATAACTGTAGTGTAAGCATGCCTTTGGCAAGACAGTGATGGAGTGAATGATAATGAAAGGTTTTTCTTTTTTGGTCCACCCTGCCTTGGTGGGAAATGGCCGGTGTTAATAAATATAATAAAATGGTAAACTACTGTATAAACAGTTAAAAATATACCAAAAATGTTATAGATGGTGCAAAGGTGACATTAAAACAATATCAAAGATGGTCGATACAAACCCACTACCACTTACCAACGAATTCATTTACCAATGTGGTCTTAGGAACGGAACTCCATCGTTAAGTGAGGAGAGGCTGTACAATTTTTTATTTCAAATTACCCATGCACCAAACTTACAATAATAAGAAGGTTCACAAGACACACAATGTCTTGAGGTTAATATGACCACCAGTCATCAGCTGCTGCAGCTGTTGTTCCTACTGTTGAAGCTCTTGATGCTGCTGTTGTTACTGCTGCTGTTACTGTTGCTGCTGTCATGGTTTCTGCTATTATTGTTACTATTGCTGCTGTTGCTGTTATTTTACTGTAGTTGTTTCTGCTGCTGTTACTGCTGTTTCTGCTGTTACTGTTCCTGCTGCTGTTATTGCTGTTGTTTTACTGTTACTGAGTCAATAATATCATTACTATGTATAGGTCATGTATTATAAGTGTAACCAGCAGCATAATAGTTGGTACAAGGTGTGTACTGCACAACACCTTCATGGTAAGTATACCCCACACTTCTTGCAGGTGGTCCACCGACATTTTTGGGGCCCTGAAGTTTGAACTGTTATGGGGCCCCTTCACAACCAGCAATGGCTAGCCTACATGATACTTTAATAACCTAATTTTTATTTTAACTATTTTGTATTGAATCTCACACTATTATTATTTTAAAATCTTTCTCATACAGTAGACCCAAAAATTTTAAGCAATTTGGACTCAAGTTGCTTCTGAGGGCCCTCTGGGATTAGGGGCCTTGGTGCTTAAGGGGGAAGTCAGATCCCCTGTCTTCTAATATGTTATTTTCCCCCTAAATTTACCTTGTCCATAATTACTATTGTACAGGTCCACTGTCACTAATCCGGCAACATTGGGACCTGTAGTGTGCCGGATTAGTGAGTTTGCTGGATTACAGTGTGGTTAGTTTAGAATAGTACACATAATTAACCTATCAATATAGACTCTGCTACATCTTCCTCATTTTCATCACTGCTTTCTCCTCCATTGGCTTGCTGCTGTGGATTTACAACCATCTGCACAATTTCTGAGTCAGTATAATGATAAAATTTTAGTCAGTATAATGGTGAAATTTGAAATTATGCTAGCTGAACTTAGTGCCGGATTACTGATGGAACCGGATAACTGATTGCCGGGTTAGTGATGGCCAACCTGTATTTGTTTCATAAGATGAAGTCTAGGATCTTTCCTTAATTCATGATATAACTTAACAAATATTTGAGGACAATTGTGTTCTGAGGTGACATTCTGGGGTGACATCGTGAGGTAACATCCTGGGGTGACATGAGGTGACATCCTGGGTGACGTCCTTGATGTCCTGGGGTGACATCATAAGGTGACGTCCTGGGATGACGTCCTCAGGTGACATCCTGGGGTGGCATCATGAGGTTGTCCTGGAGTGACGTCCTGGGGTGATGTCATTGTTGCCGTTTATCTTGCTGTTGCTGTTCTTACTGTTGCTGCTTCTGCTGTTGTTGTTGTTGCTGCTGTTGCTGTTGCTGCTACTGCTGTTGTTGCTGCTGCTGCTGTTGCTGCTGTAGTTGCTGGTGCTGTTTCAGCTTACAAGTTATATTAGTGCTGTTTTAACTTACTGGTGTGGTGGACTTCATGTGCTTATCCGCTAAACAAAAAGTTAGTTCCACTAGTAGCAGATTAACGGAACTGTGCCCACCGAGTAGTGGTACTTGGGTTACATGTCTGGATTTGTTTTTTAGAGTTAATAATCATGGTAACCTCAGTGGGCTCTGTTGGTGTAAGATAGAGGGATGCTAGGAAGTTTCCATCTAGATAATCATTAGCTCGGGCATTGGTAATTGGAATTTTACTGGCGAGATTTGATCCTGTGGTAGAGAAGTCGTTTATCTTGTTAGCTGTAACAATAGGCTGGTGTTTCGGTTCATTTTGTTTAGTTAGTACAATATTACTAGCTGTTGTGATAGAAACACAGGCCTTATCTCTAGGCTTTATTGAACATAGAATCTTCATAGTACTTCTGCAACAACAAAATATAATGACTAGTACATCTAGTAACTGCTTCTACAGGGAGGGTGATGTCTTGCATATGTCAAGAGAAAAGTTATAACTACAGGCCACATATTTAAACTCACCATGTAATTGCATCACTAATATACGGATATAAGAGAAGAGAATCACACACCATGTGTTGGCGCCCATGACACACACCAAGCTGTTGTTGTTGTTAAGGGCCCCGAGAGGTGGTGCAGTATTATCCTGCTGCTGCTCCCCACAGGAGCATTATCACTACACTAGCTTTGTTCGGTTTGTGGGTGTCCAGGATCTGAGTGTGTCTCTTCCAGGTCATTTTGATATCTCCTCTCATTTCAGTGAATCTATTATACATGTAATAGTATATGTACTAGTTGCTTGGACTTTCTGATTAATTTGGTGAGGACTGACGTATATTGTTTGATAAATTCTTTAGGGGTGTTAATGTTGCAGTTTTATAACCGTAGTGAAAGCGTTCCTCTGGCATGATAGTGATGGAGTGAATAATAATGAGGAAAGTTTTTTTTTTTAGGCCACCCTGCCTTGGTGAGAGATGGCCAATGTGTTTACCTGGAGTTTACCTGGAGAGAGTTCCGGGGGTCAACGCCCCCACGGCCCGGTCTGTGACCAGGCCTCCTGGTGGATCAGAGCCTGATCAACCAGGCTGTTGCTGCTGGCTGCACACAAACCAACGTACGAGCCACAGCCCGGCTGGTCAGGAACCGACTTTAGGTGCTTGTCCAGTGCCAGCTTGAAGACTGCCAGGGGTCTGTTGGTAATCCCCCTTATGTATGCTGGGAGGCAGTTGAACAGTCTCGGGCCCCTGACACTTATTGTATGGTCTCTTAACGTGCTAGTGACACCCCTGCTTTTCATTGGGGGGATGTTTGCATCGTCTGCCAAGTCTTTTGCTTTCGTAGTGAGTGATTTTCGTGTGCAAGTTCGGTACTAGTCCCTCTAGGATTTTCCAGGTGTATATAATCATGTATCTCTCCGCCTGCATTCCAGGGAATACGGGTTCAGGAACCTCAAGCGCTCCCAGTAATTGAGGTGTTTTATCTCTGTTATGCACGCCGTGAAGGTTCTCTGTACATTTTCTAGGTCAGCAATTTCACCTGCCTTGAAAGGTGCTGTTAGTGTGCAGCAATATTCCAGCCTAGATAAAACAAGTGACCTGAAGGTGTCATCATGGGCTTGGCCTCCCTAGTTTTGAAGGTTCTATTATCCATCCTGTCATTTTCTAGCAGATGCGATTGATACAATGTTATGGTCCTTGAAGGTGAGATCCTCCGACATGATCACTCCCAGGTCTTTGACGTTGGTGTTTTGCTCTATTTTGTGGCCAGAATTTGTTTTGTACTCTGATGAAGATTTAATTTCCTCGTGTTTACCATATCTGAGTAATTGAAATTTCTCATCATTGAACTTCATATTGTTTTCTGCAGCCCACTGAAAGATTCGGTTGATGTCCGCCTGGAGCCTTGCAGTGTCTGCAATGGAAGACACTGTCATGCAGATTCGGGTGTCATCTGCAAAGGAAGACACGGTGCTGTGGCTGACATCCTTGTCTATGTCGGATATGAGGATGAGGAACAAGATGGGAGCGAGTACTGTGCCTTGTGGAACAGAGCTTTTCACCGTAGCTGCCCCGGACTTTACTCTGTTGACGACTACTCTCTGTGTTCTGTTAGTGAGGAAATTATAGATCCATCGACCGACTTTTCCTGTTATTCCTTTAGCACGCATTTTGTGCGCTATTACGCCATGGTCACACTTGTCGAAGGCTTTTGCAAAGTCTGTATATATTACATCTGCATTCTTTTTATCTTCTAGTGCATTTAGGACCTTGTCGTAGTGATCCAATAGTTGAGACAGACAGGAGCGACCTGTTCTAAACCCATGTTGCCCTGGGTTGTGTAACTGATGGGTTTCTAGATGGGTGGTGATCTTGCTTCTTAGGACCCTTTCAAGATTTTTATGATATGGGATGTTAGTGCTATTGGTCTGTAGTTCTTTGCTGTTGCTTTACTGCCCCTTTGTGGAGTGGGGCTTATGTCTGTTGTTTTTAGTAATGTGGGACGACCCCGTGTCCATGCTCCCTCTCCATAGGATGGAAAAAAGGGTCGTGATAGGGGCTTCTTGCAGTTCTTGATGAACACGGAGTTCCATGAGTCTGGCCCTGGGGCAGAGTGCATGGGCATGCATTTTTTCGCCTGTTCGAAGTCATTTGGCGTCAGGATAACATCGGATAGGCTTGTGTTAACCAAATTTTGTGGCTCTCTCATAAAAAAATTCATTTTGATCTTCGACTCTCAGTCTGGTTGCGGCTTGCTAAAAACTGAGTCATATTGGGACTTGAGTAGCTCATCATTTCCTTGCTGTCATCTGTGTAGGACCCATCTTGTTTAAGTAGGGGCCCAATACTGGATGTTGTTCTCGACTTTGATTTGGCATAGGAGAAGAAATACTTCGGGTTTCTTTCGATTTCATTTATGGCTTTTAGTTCTTCCCACGATTCCTGACTCCTATAAGATTCCTTTAGCTTGAGTTCGATGCTTGCTATTTCTCTGACCAGTGTCTCCCTACGCATTTCAGATATATTGACCTCTTTTAGCCGCTCTGTTATTCTTTTCCGTCACCCGTAAAGGGAGCGCCTGTCTCTTTCTATTTTACATCTACTCCTCCTTTTTCTTAGAGGAATAAGCCTTGTGCATACATCGAGTGCCACCAAGTTAATCTGTTCTAGGCATACGTTGGGGTCTGTGTTTTTGTTTCTTAGTTATATCAGTTAGGACTTGGTTTACTTGGTCCACTTTTATGTTTTTGTTATTGAAGTTGAATTTGGTGAATGCTCCCTCGTGACTAGTCTCATTATGTCTGTCTGGGGCTCCATGCATACATGTCTGAACCTCAATTATGTTGTGATCTGAGTATATTGTTTTTGATATGGTGACATTTCTTATCAGATCATCATTGTTAGTGAAGATGAGGTCTAGTGTATTCTCCAGTCTAGTAGGCTCTATTATTTGCTGGTTTAAATTGAATATTGTGCAGAGATTTAAAAGCTCGTGTGAGTGTGAGTTTTCATCAGAGCTGCCTCCTGGTGTTATTACTGCAACAATATTTGCTATATTCCTCCATTTTAGGTGCCTTAAGTTGAAATCCCCCAGGAGCAAGATGTTGGGTGCAGGAGCTGGAAGATTTTTCAGACAGTGGTCACTTTTTTTACAGCTGTTCCTGGAATTGCTGGGATGTTGCATCCGGAGGCTTGTAGACTACCACAATGAATAGGTTTTGGTTCTCGACCTTTACTGCTAAAACTTCCACTACATCATTTGAGGCATTTAGCAGTTCTGTGCAAACAAGTGACTCTGCAATGTACAGGCCAACCCCCCCCCCCCCCCTTTGCCTGTTCACTCTGTCACATCTGTATAGGTTGTAACCTGGGATCCATATTTCGTTGTCCAAGTGATCCTTTATGTGGGTCTCAGTGAAAGCCGCGAATATTGCCTTTGCCTCTGCAAGCAGTCCACGGATGAAAGGTATTTTGTTGTTTGTTGCTGGCTTTAGACCCTGTATATTTGCAAAGAAGAATGTCATCGGACTGGTGGTATTGTTGGTACTGGGGGGGGGATTTTTTTTTTTTTTTTTAGTTATTAAACCCCTTCTATATATTGTTTTTCATATTGATATATCTTAGGATACTGCTAGTAAGCATGGACAACTTAGTCTTTTATTAATGGCACCTTATTTAATAAAGGCACCTTGCTTAATAATTGCACCTTCTTTAATAGTGGCACCTTGTTTAATAGTGGTACCTTGTTTAATAATGGCATTTTGTTTAATATAGGTTGACCATCACTAATCCTGCATCGTCATCAAGACCTGTAGGGTGCTGAATTAATGATTTTGCCAGATTACAGAGTGGCTGGCTAGGTTAGAATACACTTGTTGGAACTTATTCGGTCCGAGAAGTCCCAACGGGGAAAAACACACCATTTGAGGGCCCTTACACCCACCCAAAACACAAACACACTCACCCAGGTTGGTGAAGGTGGTTGGAAGGTACTTCTTAATTGATAGATTTACCCTTCAGGGAAGAAGTAGGTAGTTTATACTGTTAGTACACTAATATTACGATTATTGAGGCAACTGTAGATAATAATAATGTAGACCTAAGACCTTAACATGGGTAGTAATAGGCCGAATGTAGGCAAACACTAGGTTATGTTAGCTAGGGAGAACTGGCAGCCCAAGTTTGAGCGATGAGGCGTGGGTCTCGAAGACACCAGAGCTTCCTTCTAAGACTAAACATCATCGTAGCAACAAGTGCCGTGACCAGCAGGCGGCGCCCCCACGTGTCTTCACATACTAGACCTGGGGAAATCTGGTGGAGGCACCTCAACGTACCGTAGATGACCTCCTCCGTCAGGGCCATACAGTAAAACAAGACCTCCACTTTTTCTTAGGATCCTGGCCAGTGTCTGGGGAAAGTTGCGAGTGTGTTGAGCTGTAGGCCTTTGTGCAGCTGGCAGTGCATGCCCAGTACGTACCAGTGTCTCTTGTCAGCCTAGAAGCTAGTGTCACTTTCTGCATAGTATTCTAGGGGATTCACCCCCCTCCCTTGGATACAGGAACTTGTGAGGTGCAAGCAGGTCACTAATAACGATTGAATATTGCAGGAACTAAGGCTCTCGGTTGCACGTGGTTTCTGAGGGGAAGTCCAAAGGGACTAAGCTTAGGGAGGTTGAAGACCAGAATAGATTCTACATCACCAAGTAAGTTAGTCCTTTAAACGTTCATGCAGGCGAGATTTCTTGCAACATCAGTCATTTATGAAAATCTGTCCTATAAGCCACTTGTGAGGCTGAGGTACCGACCTCAGAGCTCGGTGTCAACAGAGCTTGCCAGGGTAGGCGACTCACTTGGAGGCAGTCCAGACAAATTTTCACAACACTTACCCAGTGGCAATATTTACATATTCACCCATTCCCATTTTACACCCTATTTTTGGCCCACTCCATTGTTCCAGTATACCAAACTCGGCTATTTTGTTAGTATGCCTTCTATTCTGTTGACTGAGTACAAGAAACTGCCCATTTACCTATTTCAGCTACTCAGTAAAATGGTCCAAAATTGGGAATTTGGCCAATTTCACACAAATTTCAAGAGCTGCCAGTTTCAAAATAGGGTCCAAAATAAACAATGCAGACATTCATGGCACTAACATAACATTTTCTCTGTTCATTAGTCATGTCTCCAAGTACCTCTTTCATCAGGCTTGCTTTCCATTTTGAACTTTTATTCACACAAAAAATGGAAGATTCACTGTTATGTAGACTAGTACTCTATTGTAATAATTGTATAAATAATGTTAACCCATTCGTGACTGTGTATTAGACTGGCCAGTTGGACATGTATTGGACGGTGATGTCATTTGTTTAATTTTGAACATCGGCAAAAATTGAACATTTCCGCTACTTTGAGTTCAATTTCAAGGTACTTTCTGTCGTGAAACCAATCAAAATCATATCTATTTCTGTAATATATCTTCCATTCTATCAAATGAGACCAAAAATACGAGAATACAACCATACAACCAAAAACATGGCTGCAGTTTTTTCTCATTATGCACTGCGTGCTGCAGGATTTTTTTTATATAGTGCACACTTACCACCCTGACCTATTCTCTCATATGTAGGCCCAAACTTACCGGTCACAGCTTACCTGAGTGAGCTGAGCTCATGGCAACCGACAGTGGCTTCAAAACCACCTTATCTTTTATGGACAGTGTACGGTGTATGTGCTTTACACAATGAGAAGCATTTCTTTTATTTGTTGGAACCATGGCTAGGGCTAAAAGTGAGCAGGTTATAACAATAAATGGAAAAAAAGAAATTGGAATGACTTATGCAGCGCGCCACCAAACAGTAGCGGCAGGTTGGTGTGGCGACCCCAGAAATTTGAAATTATGCTAGCTGAAATTAGTGCCAGATTACTGATTGCCGGATTAGAGATGGCCAACCTGTAATGGCACCTTGCTTAATAATTTCACCTTGTTTAATAGTGGCACCTTGTTTCAGAACAGGAGATGCTGCGTACACTCACCTTACAACACAGCTTTGGCCTACACCTGGGACCCATAGGTCTGATCAACACGGGTGTACATGAGTATGGCAGCAGTCACCGCTCAGTGCCAGCTGTGGATGGCACTGAACTCTCTCTCAGTGACAGACTGGCACTGGAGAGAGCTGAGGTCAATCAACTGCACAAGTGAGAGCATTTTCAAATATATTTTTTTATCTTGATTTCAGAATATTAATACAGATGCTCTAATAGAAAAATATCAGTTGTATTAGTGAAGCCAGGGGCAAGCCAGGGGTAAGTTTGACCTGACCTTCACTAACTTCACTGACAAAGGTAATTTGAGTGTCAGATGTTTTTAAGCTAGTACATATCACTGATTTAGGCATGAATTGTCACCTAGATTTTAATGTGAGCTTCAGGTAAACCAGGTGTGTGTCAGTCACTGCACAATCTAAGGTGTCCTGTGGCCTGGTAGACAGTACTCTCTCACACACTGAGTGTCCGTGGTTCAAACCCCGGCCAGGTGGAAACACTGGGCGTGTTTCCTTACACCATCTGTTCCCATTCACTTAGCAGGTCAGTAGGTACCTGGGTGTTACCTCAGTACTTGTGATTAAAAAGTGTGTAATTAAATGGGTTACAAAACTGACAACTTGATAAATAAGACACTTGTGCATCATTTGGGTGTCTTTATTCTGGAAACATTTTGCCACACAGTGGCTTCTTCAGTCCTATGCAGGAAAAGGTGGAAGATGAGGAGTTTCAAGTGATCAGTCCCTCAGCCTGTAGTGATGTGTTCAGTCCCTCAGCCTGTAGTGATGTGTTCAGTCCCTCAGCCTGTAGTGATGTGTTCAATCCCTCAGCCTCTAGTGATGTAGTGAAGATTTATAAACTAAAGGAGGAGGCAGTTAGGGGAAGATATAAACAGCTGTTGGAGGACAGATGGGCTAGTGAGAGTATAGGCAGTGGGGCAGAAGATATATGGGGTAAGTTTAAGAATATAGTGTCAGTGTGTTCAGCGGAAGTTTGTGGTAACAGGAAAGTGGGTGCTGGAGGGATGAAGAGTGATTGGTGGAATGATGATGTAAAAAGAGTAGTAAGAAAGAAAAAGTTGGCATAAGAGAGGTTTTTACAAAGTAGAAGTGATGCAAGGAGGGAGGAGTATATGAAGAGAAAAAGAGAGGTTAAGAGAGTGGTGAAACAATGTAAAAAGAGAGCAAATGAGAGGGTGGGTGAGATGTTATCAACAGATTTTGTTGAAAGTAAAAAAAAGTTTTGGAGTGAGATAAATAAGTTGAGAAAGCCTAGGAAAAGAATGGATTTATTAGTTAAAAATAGGAGAGGAGAGTTATTAATTGGAGAGTTAGAGGTATCGGGAAGATGGAGGGAATATTTTGAGGAATTGATAAATGTTGATGAAGATAGGGAAGCTGTGATTTCGTGTATAAAGCAAGGAGGATTAACATCTTATAGGAGTGAGGAAGAACCAATTGTGAGTGTGGGGGAAGTGTGTGGGGCAGTGAGTAGAATGTAACACAGGCAGGATTGATGGAATAAAGATAGAAATGTTAAAAGCAGGTGGGGATATAGTTTTGGAGTGGTTAGTGTTTTTATTTAATAAATGTATGGAAGCTAGGTAGTAGGTTGGTAGACAGCAGCCACCCAGGGAGGTACTACCGTCCTGCCAAGTGAATGTAAAATGAAAGCCTGTAATTGTTTTACATGATGGTAGGATTGCTGGTGTTTTTTCTGTTTCATAAACATGCAAGGTTTCAGGTATGTCTTGCTACTTCTACTTACACTTAGGTCACACTACACATACATGTACAAGCATATATATACACACACCCCTCTGGGTTTTCTTCTATTTTCTTACTAGTTCTTGTTCTTGTTTATTTCCTCTTTTCTCCATGGGGAAGTAGAACAGAATTCTTCCTCGGTAAGCTATGCGTGTTGTAAGAGGCGACTAAAATGCCAGGAGCAAGGGACTAGTAACCCCTTCTCCTGTATACATTACTAAATGTGAAAGGAGAAACTTTTGTTTTTCCTTTTGGGCCACCCCGCCTCAGTGGGATACGGCCGGTGTGTTGAAAGAAAGAAATGTATGGAAGAGGGTAAGGTACCTAGGGATTGGTAGAGCATGCATAGTTCCTTTGCATAAAGGCAAAGGGGACAGAAGAGTGTAAAAATTATAGGGAATAAGTCTGTTGAGTATACCTGGTAAAGTGTATGGTAGAGTTATTGAAGGAGTTAAGAGTAAGACAGAGAACAGGATAGCTGATGAACAAGGAGGCTTTAGGAAGGGTACAGGGTGTGTAGACCAAGTGTTAGCAGTGAAACATATAGGTGAACAGTACGTACTTAGATAAGGATAAAGAGGTATTTGTGGCATTTTTGGATTTGGAAAAGGCATGTGATAGGGTGGCAGTGTGGCAAATGTGGCAGATGTTGCAAATGTATTGAATAGAAGGTAGGTTATTGAAAGCAGTGAAATGTTTTTACAAGGATAGTGAGGCTGAGGTTAGAGTATATAGGCGAGAGGGAGATTACATTTCCCAGTAAAAGTAGGCCTTAGACAGGGATGTGTGATGTCACCATGGTTGTTCAATATATTTGTAGATGGAGTTGTAAGAGAAGTGAATGCTCGGGTGTTGGCAAGAGGTGTAGGGTTAAAAGATAAGGAATCTAACACAGTGGGAGTTGTCACAATTGCTCTTTGCTGATGACACTGTGCTTTTGGGAGATTCTGAAGAGAAGTTGCAGAGATTGGTTGATGAGTTTGGTAGGGTATGTAAAAGAAGGAAATTAAAAGTGAATATAGGAAAGAGTAGGGTGACAAGGATAACAAAAAAATTAGGTAACGGAAGATTGGATATCAGATTGGAGGGAGAGAATATGGAAGAGGTGAATGTGTTCAGATATTTGGGAGTGGACGTGTCAGCAGATGGGTCTATGAAGGATGAGGTGAATCATAGAATTGATAAGGGCAAAAAAGTGATGGTGCGCTGAGGAGTCTGTGGAGACAAAGAACTTTATCATGAAAGCAAAGAGGGGAATGTATAATAATAATAATAATAATAATAATAATATCTTTATTTACTACAAGTACATGTACAAGGTATACAGGCCTAGCTGACAACAATGACATACTACTATATAGAAAGCCCCTTGTTATGCTCCGCATGTCGGGCAAATTAGGTCAGTGTCCCAGGATGCGACCCACACCAATCGACTAACACCCAGGTACCCATTTTACTGATGGGGAACATAGACAACAGGTGGAAAGAAATACTCCCAATGTTTCTACTCTGGCTGGGAATCGAACCCAGGCCCTCGCCGTGTGAAGCGAGAGCGTTAGCCACCAGGCCACCAACGCTCTTGTATGGGTGTGAGACATGGGTTGTGAATGTTGCAACAAGGAGAAGGCTCGAGGCAGTGGAGATGTCATGTCTGAGGGCAGTGTGTGGTGTGAATATATGTAATGCAGAGAATTTGTAGTTTGGAGATTAGGAGGATGTGTGGGATTACCAAAACTTATCCAGAGGGCTGAGGAGGGGTTATTGAGATGGTTTGGACATGTAGAGAGGATGGAACAAACTAGAATGACTTTGAGAGTGTATAAATCTGTACTGGAGGGAAGGCAGGCTAGGGGTCAGCCTAGGAAAGGTTGGAGGGAGGGGGTAAAGGATGTTTTGTGTGTGAGGGGCTTGGACTTCCAGCAAGCGTGCGTGAGTGCGTTGGATAGGAGCGAATGGAGAATGGTTTTTAGGACTTGCCATGCTGTTGGAGTGTAAGCAAGGCAACATTTATGAAGGGATTCAGGAAAACCAGCAGGCCGAACTCGATTCCTGGAGATGGGAAGTACAGTGCCGGCACTCTGAAGGAGGGGTGTTAATGTTGCAGTTTTATAACTGTAGTGTAAGCATGCCTCTGGCAAGACAGTGATGGAATGAATAATGATGAAAGTTTTTCATTTTCATTTTGGTGGGAAACGGCCAATGCGTTAATAAAAAGAAAATATTTACAAATGAGAGTAGATCTTGTGATTTCATTACAGTGGTTGTTAGCTATAGAACTAGTAATCAGTCGCAAACATACTGACAGGTGACCATGTCCACCTGCCTCAGTCACATACTATTATCTACAAATATGTATAAATTATTTATAGGTCCAGCAGTGATTTTAGAAGTGCTGGAGTGTATGAAATTCCGTGAAGCACAGTGTCAGAGTGGCACCCCATTGGTGATGGTGCAGTGCACAGTCAGCACTGCCCCCAGTGATCCTTGGCATATATTTTCTACTTTTTCTCACTGTTCCACACACATCAGTATTTATCACACTGAGGTAGTCAGTGAGTATAGGGATTGTATACTGGTTGTCTGTGAAAAATGCATGACCTTTGTCGGGTATGGTTTCATCATTTTCCGAACATCACCAGAAATAAGAATATACTACATATAAATGGTGAAGCTGGAGGTGCTGTCCTGGGAGACAGTAATGGTGAAGCTGGAGGTGCTGTCCTGGGAGACAGTAATGGTGAAGTTAGAGGTGCTGTCATGGGAGACAGTAATGGTGAAGCTGGAGGTGCTGTCCTGGGAGACAGTAATGGTGAAGCTGGAGGTGCTGTCCTGGGAGACAGTAATGGGGAAGCTGGAGATTTTGTCCAGGTAGTCGGGAATTATACGCAGGAAGGAATACATATAAATGACCTCATAGGGGACAGGAGCCTTAGTGGGGAAACAAGTGTAGTCAAAGATAAGATAAAACTAATATTGCAAACTAGAAATACCACAGGAAATAGCAAACAAGAGGACTCCACTAGCAATAGTGAGGATATATTACCAAAAACAACTGGTGGGAGCTCTATTGTTGGTGGTAGGGAGGATAGGAATAAGACAGGGAAACATGCACCAACAGGGAATACAGTCACAGAAACCCAAGGCAAACGGAAACCAAGCGTGTGCACATACTATGTACTTGGTATCTGCAGACATGGGAAATCTGGAAAAACAGATGGGACGTGCAACTATGACCACCCTAGAAAATGCCATGCCCATATGACAACAGGAAAATGCAAACTCCCTTCCTGTAAGCTTTTTCACCCTGAAATGTGTACCTCTTCAGTACAGGAAAGACAGTGCTATAACTTAAATTGCCAGACACACCATCTAAAGGGGACAAAAAGATACAAAACATCCAGGCCATGGGAAAACCTGGGTAGCCACAGCAACTCAAGAGGGAGAGGTTTTTTAGTGCCAGGAAGAAAAAAAAACTGGCAGGAAATAGCAGAAATCGTACACCAAATCCAGCCATTTCTGGAGTGGAACCACAGTCGATGGCCTCCACTCCAAACCAACAGATACAGATACTAATGCCGGAAAAAAAATCCCCCCCCCCCAGTACCAACAATACCACCAGTCCGATGACATTCTTCTTTGCAAATATACAGGGTCTAAAGCCAGCAACAAACAACAGAATACCTTTCATCCGTGGACTGCTTGCAGAGGCAAAGGCAATGTTCACGGCTTTCACTGAGACCCATGTAAAGGATCACTTGGACAACGAAATATGGATCCCAGTTACAACCTATACAGATGTGACAGAGTGAACAGGCAAAAGGGGGGGGGGGTTGGCCTGTACATTGCAGAGTCACTTGTTTGCACAGAACTGCTAAATGCCTCAAATGATGTAGTGGAAGTTTTAGCAGTAAAGGTCAAGAACCAAACCTAGTCATTGTGGTAGTCTACAAGCCTCCGGATGCAACATCCAGCAATTCCAGGAACAGCTGTTAAAAATTGACCACTGTCTGGAAAATCTTCCAGCTCCTGCACCCAACATCTTGCTCCTGGGGGATTTCAACTTAAGGCACTAAATGGAGGAATATAGCAAATAATATTGTTGCAGTAATAACACCAGGAGGCAGCTCTGATGAAAACTCACACTCACACGAGCTTTTAAATCTCTGCACAAAATTCAATTTAAACCAGCAAATAATAGAGCCTACTAGACTGGAGAATACACTAGACCTCATCTTCACTAACAATGATGATCTGATAAGAAATGTCACCATATCAAAAACAATATACTCGGATCACAACATAATTGAGGTTCAGACATGTATGCGTGGAGCCCCAGACCGACATAATGAGACTAGTCACGAGGGAGCATTCACCAAATTCAACTTCAATAACAAAAACATAAAGTGGGACCAAGTAAACCAAGTCCTAACCGATATAAGCTGGGAAGATATACAGTGGACCCCCGGTTAACGATATTTTTTCACTCCAGAAGTATGTTCAGGTGCCAGTACTGACCGAATTTGTTCCCATAAGGAATATTGTGAAGTAGATTAGTCCATTTCAGACCCCCAAACATACACGTACAAACGCACTTAAATAAATACACTTACATAATTGGTCGCATTCAGAGGTGATCGTTATGCGGGGGTCCACTGTACTAAGCAACACAGACCCCAACTTATGCCTAGAACAGATTAACTTGGTGGCACTCGATGTATGCACAAGGCTTATTCCTCTAAGAAAAAGGAGGAGTAGATGTAAAATAGAAAGAGACAGGCGCTTCCTTTACAGGCGAAGGAAAAGAATAACAGAGCGGCTAAAAGAGGTCAATATATCTGAAATGCATAGGGAGACACTGGTCAGAGAAATAGCAAGCATCGAACTTAAGCTAAAGGAATCTTATAGGAGTCAGGAATCGTGGGAAGAACTAAAAGCCATAAATGAAATCGAAAGAAACCCAAAGTATTTCTTCTCCTATGCCAAATCAAAGTTGAGAACAACCTCCTTAAATGAAGCTCTAGCTATTTGTATTTCTATTTCTAACTGTACTTGTATATTGGACAGCTTACCGTGTACGTTCCTGATTTATATTTATTGTTTGTGTTTGATAAGGGCGCCTACAACCCCATCCGTTTACAGTCTGCTTTATTGTCCAACTAATCCGTTTGAAACCAGTCAAGGGTTCGGACCAGTCAAGGGTTCGGACCAGTCAAGGGTTCGGACCAGTCGAAGGTTCGGAACCAGTCGAGGGTTCGGAACCAGTCTGATCTGATCAGTGGGTCACTTATTTAAAACATACTGACCAATCAGTTTCGTGAACAGCTCATCAGAGTAAAGTTGTAAGTACTCTAACTCCGGAGACTTATCGGTGATAGGACATTCTAGCAGGACACCACTACCAGTGGCATCAAAATTGAAAGGATGTGGAGCGAATGTTGCACATGGGTCATCTGGCTTATCATCAAGGTTTTCAGTATTTTCTCTATCAGTTGCGGCCACATTTGTCTTCAAGCCACTGAACTTGGGGTCAACATCACTTTCCTCAAAAAAGAGTTAATATGACGGGTGGTGAGTGAATCCCTGGTGTTCTCCATGCCGTTTGCAGTAGCTGCTGCTCAAATGAACTGGTGCTACCACAAGGTACTATAGAGTCCTAGATTTTCTAATGCAGTGCACACGGAGGCCTAGGCCTACCAGGCCTCTGGTACAAAATCTGAATGTAGGAAAAATAGTATGTTGATTTATGTACAGAGTGCTAGCAGAGATGCATTGATCAGTGCTATGACAGTTAAAGGGTTAATGACCCTAGTGTAGTGGGTAAGATTTAAACCCCATTAACTAGCCACTCATAATAATAATAATATTATTATTATTATTATTAATAATAATATAATTTTATTTTAGCATGATACATATTTGTACAAAGTATAACAATTGGGTGCACATGCCAAAAGCCCCTTTGTATGCAGAGCATTTTGGGCAAACTTAAGACTAACTTAAGATTAATTATTCTTTCTCTTTCTTTCTTTCAACACACCGGCCGTATCCCACCGAGGTGGGGTGGCCCAAAAGGAAAAACGAAAGGTTCTCCTTTTACATTTAGTAATATACATGTATACAGGAGAAGAGGTTACTAGCTCCTTGCTCCCGGCATTTTAGTCACCTCTTACAACACGCATGGCTTACGGAGGAAGAATTCTGTTCCACTTCCCCATGGAGGTAAGAGGAAATAAACAAGAACAAGAACTAGAAAGAAAACAGAAGAAAACCCAGAGGGGTGTGTATATATATATGTTTGTACATGTATGTGTCCTAGGTAGTAGGTTGGTAGACAGCAACCACCCAGGGAGGTAATACCATCTTGCCAAGTGAGTGTAAAATGGAAACCTGTAATTGTTTTACATGATGGTAGGATTGCTGGTGTCTTTTTTTTTCTGTCTCATACACATGCAAGATTTCAGGTACGTCTTGCTACTTCTACTTACACTTAGATCACACTACACATACATGTACAAGCATAAAAAACCATACCCCCGGCCGGGATTGAACCCGCGGTCATAGAGTCTCAAAACTCCAGCCCGTCGCGTTAGCCACTAGACCAGCTAGTGGCTAACGCGACGGGCTGGAGTTTTGAGACTCTATGACCGCGGGTTCAATCCCGGCCGGGGGTATGGTTTATTTGCAATCGTGTCATTACGATTTCTTAAGTCATGTACAAGCATATATATACACACACCCCTCTGAGTTTTCTTCTATTTTCTTTCAGGTTCTTGTTCTTGTTTATTTCCTCTTACCTCCATGGGGAAGTGGAACAGAATTCTTCCTCCGTAAGCCATGCATGTTGTAAGAGGCGACTAAAATGCCAGGAGCGAGGGGCTAGTAATCCCTTCTAATGTATAAATTACTAAATTTAAAAAGAGAAACTTGTTTTTCTTTTTGGGTCACCCTGCCTCGGTGGGATACAGCCAGTTTGTTGAAAGAAGAAAGACATGTATGTGTAGTGTGACCTAAGTGTAAGTAGAAGTAGCAAGACATACCTGAAATCTTGCATGTTCATGAGACAGAAAAAAAGACACCAGCAATCCTACCATCATGTAAAACAATTACAGGCTTTCATTTTACACTCGCTTGGCAGGACGGTAGTACCTGGAAAATCCTAGAGGGACTAGTACCGAACTTGCACACGAAAATCACTCACTACGAAAGCAAAAGACTTGGCAGACGATGCAACATCCCCCCAATGAAAAGCAGGGGTGTCACTAGCACGTTAAGAGACCATACAATAAGTGTCAGGGGCCCGAGACTGTTCAACTGCCTCCCAGCATACATAAGGGGGATTACCAACAGACCCCTGGCAGTCTTCAAGCTGGCACTGGACAAGCACCTAAAGTCGGTTCCTGACCAGCCGGGCTGTGGCTCGTACATTGGTTTGCGTGCAGCCAGCAGCAACAGCCTGGTTGATCAGGCTCTGATCCACCAGGAGGCCTGGTCACAGACCGGGCCGTGGGGGCGTTGACCCCCGGAACTCTCTCCAGGTAAACCTCCCTGGGCAGTTGCTGTCTACCAACCTACTACCTAGGAAGATTAATTATTGTTATTATTATAATCATGGGGAGCACTAAACCTGTTGGATTATACAGCGCATGTGGGGGGGATGGAAGGTATTCAGGCTTAATTCAGGGAACCGGAGCACAGAACCAGTTCCCTAGATCAAAAGCCTCTCACCAGCATCAAGGAATCTTCCTTGAGGGGATTTAAGATTAATAAGGCAATAACAGTGCAAAATTGTACATATCGTCATTAGGTGAGTTACAATGAATACAAGAAAATTGAATATTCTGTTTGTTCGCACTATATGACTTTAATAAGTTTGGTAGGGAAGAATTATAATTTTTATTATTAAAAGTTATTAAGTTAAATATTTAACATAATTTCACTCATTACAGGGAGCTGATAGACTTAAGGAACCTCATTAATGTGATGGAGAGCAGTCTGGATATGAAGGCTTGGATCCTTGATGAACTGACTGAAAAACAACTGCTGGCTGCCATCAATGATGACTCTAACTCATGTAACAGTGACTCTGCCTGTTCTGATGCAGAGTCTGTGGTGAGTGTGTGTGTGTGTGTGTGTGTGTACTTGCCTAATTGTGGTTGCAGGGGTCGATTCATAGCTCCTGGCCCCATGTGTGTGTATTGTAGTATTGTATGTGTTACATGTTGTGTATTGTGTGTGTGTGTGTGTGTGTACTCACCTAGTTGAGGTTGCAGGGGTCGAGTCCAAGCCCGTGTGTGTGTGTGTGTGTGTGTGTGTGTTGTATGTATGTGTATGTTTGTGTGTGTGTGTACTCACCTGTTTGTGGTTGCAGGGGTCAAGACATAGCTCCTGGCCCGACCTCTTTACTGATCGCTACTAGGTCCTCTTTTGGCTTGCTCCATGAGCTTTATCATTCCTTGTCTTAAAATTGTGTATGGTTCCTGCCTCCACTACATCCCTTGCCAGACTATTTCACTTCCCAACAACTCTGTGACTAAAGAAATATTTCCTAACATCTCTTTGACTCGTCCGAGTCTTCAACTTCCAATTGTGGTCCCTTGTTTCTGTGTCTCATCTCTGGAACATCCTGTCTCTGTCCACCTTGTCAATTCTTTTCAGTATTTTGTATGTCACTGTCATGTCCCCCCTAACCCTCCTGTCCTCCAGTGTCGTCAGACTGATTTCCCTCAGCCTTTCTTAATAGGATATTACCCTTACCTCTGGAACTAGCCTTGTTGCAAATCTTTTCACTTCCTGTAATTTCTTGATGTGCTGGCCAGGTGAAGGTTCCAAATTGGTGCTGCACACTACAGTATGAGCCTGACATACACATTGTACAGTCTTGAATGATTCCTTACTCAGGTATTGGAATGCTATTCTCAGGTTTGCCAGGCGCCCATGTGCTGCAGCAGTTACTCAGTTTGCGGTCTTCTTTGTCCTTCTCCGATCTTCATGACTTTGCATTTGGTGGGGCTAAATTCGTAGAGCCAATTGCTGGACCAAGCTTCCAGTCTGTTCAGGTCTCTTTGTAGTTCTGCCTGGTCCTCATCTTATTTAATTTTTCTCATTAACTTCACATCATCTGCAAACAGAGACACTTCTGAGTCTATCCCTTCCATCATGTCATTCACATGTACTGAACCAGAAATAGCACTGGTCCTAGGACTGACCCTTATGGAACCCCGCTCTTCACAGTGATACCTCGTCACATACCATGATTTGTTGTTGCCTCCCTGTTGTGTATTCTCTGATCCATTTCAGTGCCCTTCCTGTTATGCATGCCTGGTCCTTTAGCTCTTGCACTAATCTTGTGTGAGGAACTGTGTCGAAGGCCTTTTTGCAGTCCAAGAAAATGCAATCTACCCACCTCTCTCTCTCTCTCGTGTCTTACTTCCGTTACCTTGTCATAAAACTCCAGTAGGTTTGTGACACAAGATTTGCCTTCCCTGAATCTGTGCTGGTTGTCTTTAATAAGCTTGTTCCATTATAGGTGCTTCACCACTCTCCTTATAGTCTTCTCCACGACTTTGCATGCTATACATGTCAGTGACACTGGTCTGTAGTTTAGTGCCTTTTTTGTGTTGTGTGTGTGTGTGTACTCAACAATTTGTGGTTGCAGGGGTCGATTCACAGCTCCTGGCCCCGCCTCTTTGCTGATTGTTACATCTCTGGTGTATGTTTACTTACATTTGTGGTTGCAGGGGTTGATTCATAGCTCCTGACCCCGTGTTTGAGTGTATGTGTGTATACTCACCTATATATGGTTGCAGAGGTCGAATCATTCATCTCTCCTTTCTAAGTTCTCCACCACTCTTCTTTAAATGTTTCTCCTACTTTAGCATTTAGGTCCCCAACCACAATTACACTCTCACTTTGTTCAAAGGTTCCTATCCATTCGCTTAACATCTCCCAAATCTCTCTCTCTCTCTCTCCTTGCTTCTATAGGTGCATACACACTATAGGTGCATACCCACTTTTCACATCCGACCCTTATTTTAATCCACATAATCCTTGAATTTACACATTGATATTGCCTATTCTCCTTCCATAACTGATCCTTCAACATTATTACTACCCCTTCCTTAGCTCTAAACTCTCTCAGATACTCCTGACTTAATCACATTTATTTCTCCCCACTGAAACTCGCCAACCCCCTTCAGCTTTTGTTTCGCTTAGGGCCAGGACATCCAGCTTCTTTTCATTTACAACATCAGCAATCATCTCTTTCTTATCATCTGCACTACATCCATGCACATTCAAGCATCCCAGTTTTATAAAGTTTTTCTTCTCTGTTTTAGTAAATGTATTCAGGAGAACGGGTTACTAGCCCATTGCTCCCAGCATTTTAGTTGCCTCATACAACACGCATGGCTTACGGAGGAAAGGTTCTTTTCCACTTCCCCATGGACAATAGAGGAAATAAACAAGAACAAGAGCTATTAAGAAAAATAAGAAAAAACCTAGATGTGTGTATGTATATATATGCATGTGCGTGCCTGTGTAATGTGACCTAAGTGTAAGTAGAAGTAGATATACCTCTTATCCAGCATGTTTATGAGACAGAAAAAAGACACCAGCAATCCTACCATCATGTAAAACAGCTATACAGGTTTCTGTTTCACAGTCACCTGGCAGGATGGTAGTACCTCCCTGGGTGGTTGCTGTTTACCAACCTACTATATGTATACACAGTGGTACCTCGAGTTTTGTACATAATTCGTTCCGGAAGGCTTTTCGAGTGCCGTTACCAAACGAATTTGTTCCCATGAGGAATAATGTAAATTAGATTAGTCCATTTCAGACCCCCAAAAATACACTTACAAAAGCACTTACAATAATACACTTACATAGTAATTGTTTGAGTTGGGAGCTGAACGAAACTCGGGGTACCTGTGTCTGTCTGTTGTGCCGAATAGGTAAAGCTTGTGATTTTGGCTTAAATAGCAATGCTCTTCTTGCCAAATAAGGCAAGCAAAAATTTGTGTATGCAGTAATTTCGCAGAAATCATTCTGAGCCTAATGAAAAAAATTATTTAATTGTGTTTATTATTAAATTATTGTAAACTTATCTAAAATATATTTAGTTAGATTAGGCTAAATTAAATTGCGCTTTTTATAATACGATTAAGTAGGTTTTCTAAGGTTCTTTTTGTACAAAATTATTAATTTTTACATTAGCATAAATGAAAAAAATATATCATGAAACACATAAGAGAAAATTTTAGAAAGGATTTAATTTTAAATCACATATATTCAGTAAGTTCACAGTAAACAGGTGGTATTGCATTATACAAAATAACCTTTGTGAAAAAATAGCATATGACTCTTCGGAATATTCTGGGTAAACTTTTGTAATCTTATTTCTTTTGTTTCTCAGTTTTCTTCTGCACTGATCAAGTCACACGACCTTAAAATTTGACTTAATTTTTAAAAAACTGTTTGAATGAACAAGTTTTGCCCAAATCTCTCTTACCAAATAGACTCCTTGACATGAGAGTTCACCACTTTTGATAATTTCATGAGAATTATTCTTCAGAAACAGTGAAATTACAAAAATAGAAGAAAAATAGAGATTCAAAATACAGTGGACCCTCAGTTAATGCCTTTATTCTGTTCCAGAGAGCTAGCCTTTATCCAATTTAGCCTTTAACTTGTTTGGCATTTTCTTCCTAAACAGGCCTGTTCGTCACAATTGAACACTTGTTGGAGTTTTAATTTTTCAGCCTCTGTGTACCCCTTAAAGTCCTGCACATATTTTTCAGCCACTTTTTTGTCAGAACTGGCAGCCTCACCATGCCTTATCATACCATACCACCATCACAATCGCTACCACCCTCTACCACCATCACAACCACTACCACCCTCTACCACCATCACAACCACTACCACCCTCTGCCACTGTCACCATCACAACCACTACCACCATTGACAATCGCTACCACCCTCTACCACCCTCTACCACCATCACCACCACCATCACCACTACCACCCTCTACCACCATCACAATCACTACCACCCTCTACCATCACAATCGCTACTACCCTCTACCACCATCACTACCACCCTTTACCACCACAACTTTCGTATTTTTCTAGAAACTTTTTCTTAAATTATATGTGTTTCTCACATTCTTTACCATAGGGCTGGCACTAGAAGCTTTCTTGGGGCCCATGGTGGCTTATTTAACAGTTACAAGCACCAAAAACAATGGAATAATACAAAATATATCGCATGTTCGAGCGGAATCGTCCTCACTGGAATTGTTAACAATGGCACACTGGCTGGTACACGGGGTGAGTGGCCGGGGCCACTCAGGGCACCGTGCCAACACGTTCGGGACAAAAGCTCCTAACCGAGTTTTTAGGTGTTATCCGAACCAATTATTTTACACCAAAGTGAGGCGTTGTCCAATTTTGGTGTTAGCCGATGCAGGCGTTAACTGAGGGTCCACTGTATTGAGATACAAAAAAACATACTTTTAATCCAGCTATTCCATTAGAATGGAAACAAAGTATGTTAGATTATTCCTATAATAAACTCAAAAGAGTTAGTTAGTTTAATATGTTTATTACGCACCCCATACCCATCCTGTGGGCTGTAGTCAAAAGATTACAGAGGTACATATTTGGTCCAGGGACTGGACTCCAAAGTTTTGATAGCTGAGCAAGTTACAGAGGTAATGAACTCACAATTTACAAAGGTAATGAACTCAATTTACAAAGGTAATGAACTCCAGGTAGGTCTGGTCACAATCATGACAAGTTACAAAGGTATTTACAGATTACAGAGGTACATAATGGGTCCAGGGACTGGGCCCCCAAAGTTTTGATAGCTGAACTAGGTAACAAAGAAATGAGCCACAAGTTACAAAGGTAATGAATTCTGTAAGAATGGTTACTTTTATGTTTATACATGCTACAATCATGAACAAATTATAGTGTTACTGAGCAGTTCACACTTCCACACCCAGTCACAACTGTAATGATTATTGGTGCAAATATTGAATTGTTTGAAGACACACACACACCACACACACAACTCACAACATGTGGCAACAAAATGCAAGGAGGCA